ATAAAGAAATCAGCAGATCGATGTCTTCACACAAGCCCAGACTTTGCAGCTCTTCAAATTTGGCATTAAGTTAATGTAGAGGTATTTGTCCTTAAGCCCAAACCTGCCGGAGTGAAGCTGGATGACTTCCAAGGCGTGTCAACCGTTCAGCGCATAAACAAGAGTTGTTGCTGTAATTACCACAATTCATTTTTTATAATACACCATTAAGTGGGCATACATAATGAAAATGGCTAAACTACTTTAAAAAAGTCACTTATGTTGAGAAAAAACATCATCAAATCACTGCTTATTTTCTGACATTTTCTGTGGAGATAAAACAAACTGAATGATTTGTGATGTTGGTCTATTTTTGGTGTTGATGCCACTATAACAAATAACACATTTATATATTCTATTAATAATATGAAAATAATAAAAACATACTAATACCACCCTACCTATAAAATCAAAAGTCATGTTTAATAAATGTTGAAATGTATTTTTTTGCAGGACGTCCTGCTAAATCAGGTCCTAAAAACTCACATAACCCTCTGAATTGATACCTTCGTTATCCAGAGCAGAATAATCAGGACCTGTGTGTAAAACTATAATTTTATGAAGTGCAGCTCACAGACGAGGGTTTTGAGAGAAGTGCAGCAGAAGGTAGATGAGTCAGGACAGACTGTCTTTGATTCACGGCAAAGGGAGAAGGTTTTATGAATTGCTTTATGACCTGTGTCAGCGCATGGACTGTAAACTCTGCTGGTTCTGTTCTGATCTGCTCTCTGAGCTCTGAGGATGAGGGCGGCAGATTTATGGCAGCTCCTCACCTGGTTTCGGAGCTGTTTGATGGAATGCTGCAGTGTCAGGATGTGGCTGAATAGTGGACTCTGCAGAGTCTCCCTCAAGTTGCCCAGAGAGTCGCTGTGGGTCCACTCTTCTCTCTGGACCAGTTTGGACTGGAGACGGTCCAGAGCTGCCAGGACCTGCTGACGCTCCACGGAAGACACTGAACATACAATTATTATTATTTTAAAGAAATGCTACAGGGCTTTCTTGAGCAAAGCCATTGTCAACAGAGTAATTTGTACATTTTTGGTTTTGAGTTATGTGTTTACCTGTTGGGACATTTTCAAACATTGTTGACCTTGTCTGTCTAGATTGAAAAGGGAAGAGAACAACAAAATTAGATTAAAATGATTACACCAAAGATGAGTTACAAAACAGGGACATGTTGGACAAACTGAAGAAAGAGAAAGAAGACAAAAAAGAAGAAGAAAAATGGTGATGATGAAGGAGCCAAAAGAACTAGAAAAACAAGGAGGGAAGTGAAAGAAAGCTGAAGAATTAGAAGCTAAAAAGAATTAACTAATTAAATTAATTCCAAAATTTACCACGATTAAAAAAGCAGAAAAGTCAACACAAATATATTAGAGATGTTATTTGAAGTTAATAAGTAACATTACATAGGATTCAAAAATACTTTTGAACCAGAGTTGAAGAGCAGAAAAAAGGATTATAATGAGCATCGCTTAAAATAAATGCACAGCTGAAAATGTTCGACAATATATTTTTAAAAGACTATAAAACCTTACTAAGCTATTGGTAATCTTGTTTCTTGGATTTAAAAAATCTTTAGTTTTAACATTTATAGTAATACTGTAACTTCCTAGCTTGGAATCAATAAAGTCTGTCCATCCGTTCCTCCCTGCCTGCCTACCCCGTGTTAACAGTTTTTTCTTAAACCCCAGGTGACAGACTGGTTATCAAAAGTCGACTCGTTTTATCAGCTCGCTGTGTGAAAAACAAACACAGCGACCACCACAATATTCCCAACAGCAGTGTGTAGGTGAAACCGCTCGAGCAGGAAACACACCTGTGAGCTCACCTGACAAACAGGAAGTGAAACTCAAAAGTTAACACTGAGAAAAAATGAGGGGAAAATACGATTATATGATATTCAAAACTACAAACCACTTCACGAAATGTGTCAAATGTGTATCTTTAAATGTATTAACTACAGTTACGTTTAATACATCTCAAATACGGACGCGAGTTCCACTCGCAACAGGTGCATCGAAGTCCTAACACTGAAGATAAAAACCTCACCTGCGACACAAAAAAATGAACCAGAAATTAGGGTTCTGAGATGACACGCGATGTGCTATTTTTGGAGTTCTTACTCCTGTAGATTGGCCAAGAAAATCGTATAATACAACTTTTGTCGACAACTTTCTGAGTCACACAACAATCCAAACACCGCGCTAGCCGTTAGCATGCTAATTTAGCTTCACTTCTTCCACGGCGTCTGTGTAAAAACACACTGATAACTTTTGCAGCAAAATGAAAAATGAAAAAATGACAACTCCCAATCGACACCAAGTACAGAAAAGGAAAACATCGACCAGTTTTGATGTCAAGTGGTGTTTGAAACTTACAACAGCTGGACCCGCTTCAGCTGCAGTGTCGCTTTAATGCTGCCTTCAGGGACTGTCAGAAAAAACAACAATAATAAAAATATTGTTCAACAGAGTACGGGTTTTGTTTGTTTTAAAACTTGGAGTGGATATTTTCTTATCTATATATATTAATATACTTATATATTTTGACGTGCACTTCATACAAGTACTTGAATGCATATTTAGTTTATTTTCTGACTTTATTCAAACATCATATTTCGAGAATTTTTGTGTATTATTTTGTGTCTGGAATTAGATACTTTATTTTCGTAACAAAACAAACCTGGTCAAGTAGCCATTGAACATTGTAAAAATAAAAAAGGAAGGTGGATAAGACTCAAAACCATAACGAATTTCAATTCTATATTTTATTTAAAAAATAATGACCAAAACGTTCAACAATGCAATCGATTTCGGGAGAATTTTACTAGGCAGAGATACACCCAAATGCATCGTAATACCACGTGATTTAGTCTCAGTCACCATGGCGTCCTCCCGGATACGGCTGCTGTGTTTACGTTCTTGGATGTGGATTCTATTATTTTACGGCGTTTGTTCGCATGTAAAAGAAGTTTTGACTGAAGACGTGTTCAGTTGTGAAGACCTGAGACTCGGACAGTATCCTTGAACTCGTGTGAATCAATCATATAGAGAGACAGAGGCTCGCGGAGCTGATAACCTTATTAGCTTAGCAGGACTCGTCGATGTTTTGACTTACCATAATTTAGAGCATGAAGTAGTGTCATAATTACAGTACAAAAACTACATTTGTGGTATGTGCATTGATATGATCATATTGTGTACTGTGTTTTTGTGATTAAGCATTAATTCAAAAGTCAGATATTCCATTAGAAATTTTGGGCACAATTCCGAATCAAATATTTTAATTCTGACATCGTTATCGAAATATTTTGAAAAATTAAATCTAGCTTTTTAGAAAAGTCTAGTCTAATCTGTTTTTTTTTTTACCCCATTACAATTCGGAGTGATTTTGACAGAATCCTGACTTTCAAATAGTCTAAATCTCTATCCTTTAATCGCAGATTTCGGAGAGAACAGTTTACAACACTCCCCATATTTAGCAAAAAAGTTTTCAGAAAAACGTTTTCTTTGTTTGTAACGATTTATGTGCGTTGTTATCAGTTGAAACATTCAAAAGGAGCTTGGATAAAGTTGTAAATAATTCACACGTAATTCACACATTAATTAATTGTTATGTTTTGTGTTTATATATACATGTGTGTGTATGTGTATTAATATCTGACACAAGCACTACAAGTTGTCTTCTGCTAATTTAGTTAGGAACCAATTAAAAATGTTCTCAGGATGGAAATGTCAGGTACACGTTGTTTCTCATGGCGACTCCTGTCCCAGAGTTGATCCTCTTTTACAGCAAGTCCATCAGCTCACAGTCAGAACTCCTTGACTCTACTCATGTATCTGTGTAATGAGCCAAAGATCGACGAAGCCACTCAGGAGCCAGAGAACTGCAAGGACACCACAGCATGGGGTCAGTGAGCTAATGTTGTTTACAAAAGAAAAACCTGATATTATCAACTGAAAAGTCTAAATGCACCTGAATGCATCACCTGCTTCTGTTAAATTACATCAATGGTATTAAGAGCCATTTACATTGAAAAGAAATTGTCCTAACAAAATCACTGCCACCAGATAACGAAGCAATTAAATTGAAGTTGTTGGAACAAGTGCATTTACAAGAAAAAATGAGAATGAAGAAAAATGCCTTAACAGATTATTTTATGAGGAGAAATGTTTTTTGTTAAATTTGTTCAGATTTCGCCCTACTTAAACTGTGTGTGTTTTTCAGTGGAGTGTCTCCCAGCTCCAAACATCAGCTGTCGACTGTCTAACGGGACAGAATTTCGGTTCAGTGGGAAAGAGGTCGGCTTCAACAAAACCATTTCCTGTCGGAATGTGTGAGTCTGTCTCCCCTTCTCTCTCCTGCAATCACACGGACGGGCCAGCTTGATTCCGGATATTTTCATACCACACACACACAGGATACGGACCAGCTTGATTCCGGATATTTTCATACCAAATTCTGCTACACATTTACAAGTTAAAATACCTAATCAGAGAATGTTCCTTTTCCAGGAGTGGTTATTCCTACAGAGTTGCTGTGGCTCTGTCTCTGTTCTTGGGCTGGCTTGGTGCCGATCGGTTCTACTTGGGGTATCCTGCACTGGGTAATTATAGACATATAGATCTGTGAATGTCTTTATAGGAACTGTAAGAACTCTGAGAAACACACATAAATATGTAGCACTGCCCGTTAATTGTTCCCACACATCATATTTCTTACCAGCCTCAAACCCAGACAAATTTAATTAATCATTGTTTGTTGGTGATCTACACTCAATGGAACCAACATGGCAGAGAATAACAGTTATCATTTCCTCAACAAGGACGAGTTATTATCAGCAGCCTCGTTTAATGAGACACCTGCAGCTCCACAAAGGCTGAAAAGCCTGAGAGAGAGAGAGAGAGAAAGTGTGTGTGTCACTCCAGGCTGCTTTGGATGGAGGACAGCTGCACTGACAAAAACACCTGGCTTGATTTGGCACAGGTCGTCCTGGACTGAGCCAAACGCAGCCGAACAGAGCCAAATTTGGTTTATTAAAATCAAACACACACACATGGACACACACACACTCATCACATTGCCAACATCTCTGTGACAAGAAGTTGGAAAAAATGAGCTGCAGACACAATAAATTTCAGAAATTCACTTATACAATTTTTTAAAGATTGTCCTGTAGGTGGAGCCAGAGAGACAAACGTTACATCAAAATTCTATTATTATCACTAGGGAAACATTAGAGTCAAGGTGTCTTCTTGTGATTTTTAATACCTGTGTTTTTTAACTCATCTGTTCCATTTATAAATACACAACCATCCAAGAGGAGCCTGGGAACACCGTCGTCCTGATGTTTATTTACATTTCTACAGCTTAGGCCAGTTTCAACGGGAGCAGGGGCCCATCCCAGCAGTTGGGCTGAGGGTGGGGTAACAACCTGGAGTCCATCATAAAGTCACATATAAAAACAAACCACAAGTCATGAAACCATGACAGTCGAGTTGTCCTCCTACTTAACTGATTTGAACTTAACTGTGTGAATGGAATGTTGGGACAGGATTTATTAAAGTGCTTTTGTTTCTGTCGACCAAATGCCGAAATGTAACTTTGACTATTGTCCTCCTGTGCTTTAGGACTGCTGAAGTTCTGTACAGTTGGATTCTGTGGAATTGGAACTTTGATCGACTTTATACTTATTGCCATGCAGGTGAGTCTCTGGTCTGATCTGGTCCTAAAAATATCAGTTAATACTGACACACAAGTTCTATTTAAGAAAATATTACACACCGATTAGGGCAGAAATTTGGGCAAAAATACAACAAAATATAACAGAATGACCAATATTCATACAAATATGAAGTGCATGAGATTCAAAGTTGACATAACAGACAGAACATCACATAATCATGAATTCTGTTCCCTCTGAAACTGTGATGAAAAAGTCTGACGTCTGCCTGAGAATCCATTTTCGTGTGGTGAATTGGTGGAGGACGTTAACCCTGTGATAATTATTTACACCTATCCATCCTGCGGCACTGCGGCACTCTGAGTCTCATGTAATGAATGATGCTCAAAGGTTTTTAATGGACTCCAGGAAAACAAAGGTAGACTAATGAGGAGAAGGAGACAGGAGGTGAAGGGTTGAATTCCTTCTATTTACTGAAGTGTTTGGAGAAGAGAAACAGGAACAGGGGGAGTAAAGAGGAGCAGCCATGGATGGATGGATGAAGAGATGGATGGTTTGACAACACGGACAGAAGTTAAATGAAACATTAACATCAGTGCCTAAACCTGTATAACCTAATGGAGACAGAGACCTCACAAAACTGTAAATGTAGCTATGAAGAAGAAAAAACATTCCCTGAAAATAAAACCTAATCTCATTAGCCTTGAAACATAACTAATAATCATTTAAACTTATAAATGTAATATACCTATCTTTGAGAAAGGCAGGCATGAGGACAGTGTAGAGATGTGTGTGGTCAGACTGACCGATGGGTTCAAGGTAGACGAGATAAGAAATGGAACAAAAGCAGTTAAGCACTGATGTCATATCCTGTCTAAATATGGTACCGTCTGGTTGACTGTGACTGTCCTCTACTTCCCTGTAGATCGTTGGACCAGCAGACGGTTCAAGCTACATTGTGGATTACTACGGCGCTCGACTGACCCGCCTCTCAATCACCAATCAGACCTACAGGAAACCTCACCTGTCTCTGTGAGACCTGCTGGACTATCGTCACAAACACTGGTACACTTGAATCTAAACCATATTTCACTCATTTCTCATACTCATTTCAATCTGGTCCCCTCGGTCGGTACCAGTGGGTCAGTGGAGGTATTTGACCCTGTCAACATCACCATGCTTTTCAACTTCTCTCTGAATTATCTAAATTTCCTGTGCGTTCACATCTGTCGGAGAAAAAAGGCAGCGGACTGACAGCTCCATAAAAAATTAACTCAAGGCATATTTAATCTTTAAAAAAACAGGGCTAAGTAACAGAAACAAAGGCAGCAAGTTGACATAAATCACCAGGTGTGCACGGTTTGGTTCTGTTAATCCTCTGTAATAAAAAGATACATCCTGGAGTACTGCCACATACTCCTGTGTGGCACTACTCCAGGATGTACCACAGGTTTCAGGCTGAGCTAAAGCAGTAAAAGAGCCTTAAACCAACAGACAACGTGAGGCTGAAACTTTATCCCCTGGAGCCTCGTGAAAAGAATAAAAAAACAGGTCCAGATATGAATTTTTCAGCCAGTGAAACTCCGTCTTCTCCTGGGACAGAGCTGTTCAACAGCAGAGTGTGAAGTCAAACAGCAGCAGGTTTCAGAGAGGATTAGGCAGTGACAGTGGTTCAGCTCTGCTCATTAGAAGTAATTAGGTTTTAGGATTAGTGTAAAAATCTGTTTTTATTCTTTAGATCAGGGGATTTTGATGTTATTCAGGCAGAGGACCCTCAAACTGAGGGGCCCTGGGCCACGTACAGACTGTACCTGGTTTGATTATGTATTTCAAATAAAACACAGGGGCATACTGTATATCAATGTTTTGTTTTAAACATGCAAAATATATTTAATATATCAATATTTTAAAAATTGTCCATTCAACTAAAAATATTTGTCCCCCCCACCCACCAGCAGTACCTCTGTGGAGGTACAGACCCCATGTTGAAGACCTTTAAATACCTGTGAATACTGAATTCAAGTTTCAGTGTTTAGGAGTTTGTACCTGATTAGTATTGTTGTGTTGGACACTGATAGAAACAACAGGAGGAGACACTGGGTTTCATCACCTCCTCCTCTCTGTCCCTGTCTTCACTGCAGGTCTAATGTGAGGACAGACAACAGTGCTGTGAAACAGAGTCACCATCATCAGGCCAACTTCATCTGCACCAAGTTTTAACATCATAATTGTCATTACACCTATTTTTTGCCTGTAAATTATTATTATTATTATTATTGCTTTAGCCGTATTTGTATTTTATTTTGTTTGTACGGCAATAATGTTGTAAAGTTTGTTTGAGGCCAAATCTTGTGTTTTGTAAATAAAGTTTTCATGTGTTGGTGTCAACTAGACTGCAGTGATTCTGACTAATGATGATGTAAAGTTCATCATGTATGGGACATTTTAATGGTTTTTTTTTTGCCACCTCCCTTTGAGGCTGTCATAGAAGTCTGGACCCCAGGTCCAGCAGTCTGTTTTTTACAATAGCCTCTATAATTGAATAAAAAAAGATTGATTGTGAAGACAGTAAACACCTGTTTAAAACTTTGACACAGTACTGTATTTTACTACCTGCAGTACTTCCTAGAACTTTTTGACAGTTAAACTAATATTTGATCTGGAACTTCAGTCAACATTACTTCACAACAGAAAACCTAATTCATCAATTTATATACATTTTTAAAAATATAACAAATATCAATTTGGGTGAATAGCTATTAAACAACATTAAACAAAGGTAACTGTAGTGACATCACATCATGACATGGTTGAAGTTTGTTAAAGCAGATGATAAATAATTCAGTGGGGATTAAACCCTAACACCAGCTGTGGTGAAGATTCTGAAGAACCTCTGATTGGTCCTCACTCATAACCACAGAGCAGCATGTGTGTGTGTGTGTGTATTTCGGCATTAGCAGTCATGTGGTTTTCATCAAAACTTAATTATCAGACTGAACCACACTTCACAGGACACACACAGTCATGTTTTCAGCACTACAGACGACTCACTGACATACACAGACACTCATTATTGTCCTCTTAAAGAGACAGAAGACAGGATTTTTTTTTAATTATTGATGTTGAAACAGATAAAATATAAAATATCAGACTCTTGCTGTGGGCTACAGAGGCCGTCGCCTATGGGGCCCTCTGCTGGAGGGGGTGATGCTATGACCCCTTACGAAAAGCAATTACGATAATAATAAAAATAATAGTAATAATTTGCAGCCCCAGTTGACACAATTTCCTCATGCTCTGAATTGGAAATAACAATTTGAACAAATATGAAAAAGGAAGAAAACACACACAGGGAATCACACACACACACACAGAAACACACACACATACTGAAACACAGGCAGCATGAAATTACAGTGGGATCCGTTGGAACGAGTCTCAGTAGAAAAACGTTGATAAGACCGTGGACAGAATTGTCTAGAACTACGGAGTGACTTTACATCGGACTGTTGAACAGAAACTTCCTGAACCTCCAATCTGTCTCTGTCTAATTCCTTCAGAAAGGAAGGAAAAATAACCAGGAGTTCAGACCGGTGTCCATTACATCTGGGCTTCGAGATACCAGCTCCCCGAAATACAAGTTTTCCAAGTTACGAGTCAGCATCTTTTGCAAGATTTTCATCGTGATACGAGGAAACATGGAGTTACCAGTGCTGAGCTCCATTTTTCCACTCCACACTGTGGCGCTGTCTCCCTCACTGTCCCGCTCTGGGTTGTTTTACCCATTTCTATAACAATAACATAAAATGTTTTCTTAATTATTGTTATTTTTTAATTATCAATATATTTGTTTATATCTATGTTTTTGATGTTTAGATGGAGATTAATTTAATTAAGCAATAATATATTTCTAGGGGTTGGAACAAATTCATTGGTTTTTAGAGTTTTTGGAGTGCTGTTGTGGAACAGATTAAACTGGTATCTTGAAGCCCCACTGTATTTAAAAAGATGTAGAGGGAAATACTGTGAATACAGACAAACCTGGCAACCCACTGTGTATTTGTCAATACTGTGGTGGCAAGCCTCCAACCATCAGGATACAAAGGTGGGGGTTTTGTTTTTGTTTTTCCAGGACACCAGTTGATTTTAGAGGAAGCAACAAATTTCAAGGGATTCTAAAAACTAATCAGGAAAATATTTAGAGACAAAAAGTAATAAAAATGATAAAATGTTAAGTATAAACGTCATCTTTGTTAATCTAAGTTTGAAATGAATAATCTGTATTTAGAAATAAGACCGAGAAAAAATTAAAGGAAAAACAATGTTGGGCGAATCCAGAGTTCACGTGCACAGAAGACAGGCAACTAATGTTTACTGCCCTCCATAGGGCAGTTAGTGTAAGAGCGACAAAACATAAACAGAACATAAAAATTCCAGACCAGATCAACTGACATCATGTCAGTGAAACAGACAATGGTGGTGTGTTTATGGGCCAGAGAAGCTGCTCCTGAACAACACACACACACACACACACACACACACACACGATGACAGTAAGACCATCAGACACTGTAAATCACTGGAACTATCAGCAGG